TTAGCAAGGATCTTCCCTGTCCCTCGTGTCATACTGAGAGGTCAGAGGTGCAAATTCTGGCCTTTGAGATGGAGGAACTCAAAAGGTTTCAGGAAATGGAGATCATGACAGAAAAGGGACTGTCCTCCATGGAGCACAGATGGCAGGACCTCCAGGGCCTTCTGAGGCCGTGCATTGTGGCCTACACAGGACAGAATAGGAACCTAAGAAACTGGGGCTAGACAGGTAGAGAGCTGAGATTCTTGCCAGCAGGGATTCAGCTTCTCCTCTGGAACACGCTCAGGAGGGGAAAAGAGAACGTGGGCTTGGGACTGAGAGGCTTCACTGTCACGGTTATGGGACTCTTCTCAGGCTCTCAAACTCCCACAGGAAAAAAAAAAAAAACAGTCACCAAAAGCCTCTGGTCTGGCTTGCCTAGCTCAGTAAATGGCATTGATGCAATCCCTCTGGCCAGAAATCCCAATGTCATCCTTGATTCCTCCTTGCCCTATCCCCAGACCCACTAGCAAGCCCTCTAGCCTCTAATTCCAGAGTCTGTGAGGCTCCAAAAGATTTGCCACACTTGAACCCAAACCCAAACCTCTTCCCAGGACCTACCCCACCGGTGCACACTTCTTTGTTCCTTTATTTAGCAGCTTAACAACCTCAGAAAATTCTGCCAAAATTCTCAGTTCATTCCCTGACTACTACTTATCTGGTCGAGCTCAGCTTTAAATGTCAGCTCCTCAGAAAAAATGGTCAGGTTCCAAAAACTGATATGGACTTGAAGTACCAACCGCCTGCTTTCAGTGATTACCAAAGTGCTAGGGTGTCAACTTTGTCTTTCCAGGACAGCATGAGGTGACAGAGGTTGATGAATATGACCACTGACATTTCTCTTCTGTCACTTTCTTCAGATGAAAATCCAATTGATATGAACTCAACTGTCATGGTTTGTCCTAGACCAAAGATAAAACAACCCGGAGAGTAAGTGCCCAGAATTCTTGGCTCTATAGATCCAGAGACATTTTAGTGCATGAAATATGAGTTGTCCACTCTGCTGTAGAGCCTCTGTCTGGCTGCAGGTGGGCTCTGGCCACCCTGCCACATGCTTGTTAGTGATCTCCGTCGTGGACAGAGACACTCAGTACCCAAGCTCTGTTCAGGGCAGAGTACAAGAGATGGAGGGCTAAGGGCCGGTACCTGGAGCTCCACACAACCTTCCAGAGATAAAACAACAAATTATACATCCATAAAAATGCACAGCATGAAGTAACACTCCCTTGCCACTTATTCAATATCTGTGATGACGTCAAATACCATGAGGGCCCTTCGTGGCCTGAGCTGTACACTTGGCCATAATTGCACAGATTGACTCCTTGTGCTTGGGCAATGATCTCTAGTAATTCACCTGTCTGTGCTCTGAGAGTCCTAAGTGCTAGAAAGCCAGCGTTGTTACTGTGAAGAAAGCTGCTGCCAAGGCCCTGGACTCAAGGCTGACTCTTGTGGTCTGGCCTTCTGTGCATTAGAACCATCTTAGTTGAAGTCAGCCTGAACAACGGAAGAGACTTCCTTGCCCATACCATCCATGTGAATACGAGCGACTGTGTGAGTACCCTAGTGGGTCCGAGCACCCTGAACCTCTGATACAGACTCCTCTGGGAGATCATTGTTGGGGAGGGTCCTGGGTGGTACCTGAGGGTAACTTGTACACACAGGTGCCTTGGGTGGTTCATCCAAGTTTCCAAGGGCATGGGTTGGTGAGGGAGGGCCAGGTGCCAGGCTGTCTGCCAGTTCCTGTCTAGGAACACATGGAATTCTTTATGGACATCCCAGAGCTAAGAAATGGGAGCATTCTATCAATCTCAGTCAGGGAATGCCAATGAACAGGAGCCCCAGCTACTGACATGGACCTAAACATACTCTGGACCCTACTGACACCTTTCATTTGCAGTGTCCTCAGCCACCCCTCCTCCTCTCCCCTCTCGCTGTCCAGCTGCCCTTCTGCCACCTTGCTCTCACTAGTGAGTTATACTATTGTGGTGATAGGGGTAGGGCTGTCAGGAGTGTGACCTGCTCTGCTCAACCAGGGCCTCTGGGAAGAAGAGTGCAGCTCCCCAAGTACTGGGGAAGGCAATTCCATCTTCTGGGACCTGAGTCCCATGCACTGCAAAAGGAAGGTGTGCCTAAGAGAGGGAGGCCTGTACCCATTTACCACCACCCTTGATTCCCCTTAGCTCATGAGGAACCCATAGAACTCACAGGCCCCTGTGGCTGTGCCTGGTTTGTCCCTTACATCCATGCACAGGTCAATGGGCTGACTCATGCATTTCCCCATCAAGAATCTACCCATTGCATTGCCCAGGCATACACAGTTAGCAAAGAGCCAGAGAAGCCCCATGTCTCCAACCCTGTCAGTGACCATTACCATCACCACTACCTTCCTCATGGCCCGTGTTTTCAGCCAGGCTTTTTCTGGGACCCAGGGACCTCCTCTTAGTGTTCTCTGAAGCCCTTGCTCTAAGCAAGCTGTGACCCATCAGGAAAAGGCTAGACAGGTGGCAGCTTGTTGTCAGTGACAACCAGGAGAGCAGTCCCCATCTTGAAGCCCCAGTAGGCTAGGCCTGAGACAGGACTGTGTCTGAGCTCTGAGTTCGCAAGTACCCATGAAGAAAAGAGCTACGTCCCCTATGCAGATTGCAAGCTGGGGCTCAGAAGAAAGAGCCCCAGGCTGAAGAGATGGGAAGGCAGGTTAGAGTCCTAGATATCTTGTGAGGGGCAACAATCTGGCCCTATCCCAGAGATCGGGTCACCTGTAGTCTATTGTCAGCTGGAATCACAGTGAAAGCTGGGATCCAAAGAGTGCAGAGGATTATGGGATGTCTTCACCTGGGTTCAGGGTAGAGCCTTGGAGCAGGACCAGAGCTGGGTAACAGACCCATGCAATAGCCCCACTGTTGTGCTTTTAGGCTGGGTAACCAAAAAGAAGGGAGAGAAGGCACTCGGATGGCACATGCTGGGCATCGCATCAGGCACTCCTTGGTGCTCCACATTAAGGCTGGACTGTCTCCTAAGGATGATGATTCATTCATTTCTCTCTCTCTCTCTCCCTCTCTCCCTCTCTCTCTCCCTCCCTCCCTCCCTCCTTCCCTCCCTCCCCACAGATTGTTCCACCAGCAACCACTGCTGTCCCTGAGACCTCCACCCTACCCCCAAAGACTATCCCTCCAGAAGCAACTTCAACCACCCAAACTTCTCCACCCACAACCCCAAAGACTACTACTACCCCCCAAACTGTTCTACCCCCAAAGACCACACCAGTCCAAACCACTACTCCTCCTCTACCACCTCCCCCTCCCCCTCTGCCTTTGCCTCCACCTCCACCTCCACTTCCTCCTCCACCACCACCTATGACTCCAACTTTACATCTGCCTCCAAACATTCCACTCTCACCAGCTGAGCCAAGCAAGCCAGTGCTGCTCAGCACCATAGTGCTAGTCCTGCTGCTCATCCCCGTGCTTCTGTGGTGGATCTGGTGGCTGTGCTGCAGGACGGTGAGTGTCCTCTGCCCACTCAGGGACATGGATATTTAGAGCCTGTGGATAGTTTCTCCTCTGACCCCGAGAGACTCAGCCTCTGTCATCACAAACCCAAACCCTACACTCAGCCAGGGAGTCTTGCCCAGGTCAGCACAGGTAGGTAGGTGACACTGCCTTGGGCCCTGGAGAAAAGCCTCCCCAGTTCCTTTAGACCATCTGGATGTATACAGGTCTCATGTGGACAAAAATTCATGGGGTGATGCCCGTGTATCAGGAAAAGGACAGGATTCCCAAGAAGTATTGATGGGTCTAAACAAGGTGATGCAAATCAAGCATGATTAGTAACCTCTAAGACAGAGGTTACATTAATGCAAACGTAGGTTTTTGCATGTTTGCAGCACCTTTCACCATTCCTTCATCTGCCATTACTGAGTACCAGTGTCTATGTCCCCAACCTAGGCTCAGTGAGTATAGGGCCGGTAGTCCACAGTCACTTCTCATGCTTGAGGGTGAAATGTCACACACCCTGCAATGTGACCAGGGCCTGAGTTAAGCAGAGTAGGAACAAAGGGTGATGCTAGTACTCCAGGTGGGAGGGATGGCAGAAGAGCTGGTGAGCTGTGCTGGGAAGGAAAGTTCCAAAGAGTCAAAGAGAAAAGAGCCAGCTCCAGGTCAGTCTGAAGAGGACAGAGCACAACACACAATTAGCAGATTACATCTCTGCCTAGGGAACCACAGAGAAAACCAGGGATCAACCTAGTGGATGAAGAAGCTGTGGAGGAGCTTCTCCCAGAGGGTGTGGGATCGGCCTCAAGTGGAGCTGGGGCTGGTGCTGGGCACTCACTGGGGCTTTCCTCGGGTCACGTGGGACACCCTGGCACAGCGCGCACACACACACACACACACACACACACACACACACACACACAATCTGGCACAGCACGCGCACACACACACACACACACACACACACACACACCTGGAACCATGTTCTGTCCCCTGCTCCAGATGAGGGTCACCTATAGGTCTTGAGATACAGCACATCTATGTTAGTCAGCCTCTTGTTACTGCAACAAAATACCTGAGATAATTAACTTTAAAAGAGAGAAGTTTTATTTTGACTCATAACTTTGGGAGGCTTCAGTCTACAGTTATCCCAGTGAGTTTGAGATTGTGGCTCATGAGGCAAGGAAATCTTCAACTCATCTCAGAGAGGGAGAGAGAGAGAGAGAGAGAGAGAGAGAGAGGAAGAAGGAGGAGGAAGAGGAGGAGGAGGAGGAGGAGGGAGGGAGGGAGGGAGGGAGGGAGAGAGAGAGAGGAGAGAGTCTCATAGCCCCATAAACCCATTCTAGGATCCACTGCCAATGACCAACTTCCTCCCATTGACCTCCCACCCCACCCTGGTCCCCAGCATCAATACACTTATCCAAACAATAGCACCATACAAGCTTCCAGCTCACTCCTGTCTGCTTCATCCTCTAGCCTGCCAAGTCACCGCCAGCACCTGCACCATGGCCAGAGAAGGTAAGTCATGCTTTGGATCGTGGTATTGTCACATGTCAAAAGAAGTGAATGACCAGTTCAATGAACTGTCGTCATAGCTTGTGCCCAGGACCTCCCACTACCTTGGCAGAGACGTAGAGGAAGAGGAGGGTGAAGGAGGGTCTGGGAAGGCTGTAGGACTCACACTATCACCCAGACAATGCAATGACACGTTCGCAGCACCTTCTGATCTGAACCCTGGTCATACAACCAGCATGCACGGCATTCCTACCAACTCAGTGGTTTTGGGGGAACTCCATAAGATTCTGCCAACAGTGTCTGCTATGTCTCCATCTCCAGTCTGGGCATGTTTTGGCTCCTTTAGTTCTGTCTTGATACATGACTTCCTGTAGGGCCAAGAGCTTCACTGGGGTCAGTCTAGGGATCCCAGAGCTGGAGAGGTTGAGGATATCCTGACTGGGCCCAAGCTGTGAGAGATGTCCCCAGGGAGCACAGGGACCAGGTAGGTGAGTATCTGTGGCTTGGTGGAGTAGGGACCAGAAGAGGTAGTGAGAAGCTGGGGCAGGAAAGGCCTGGGCCTGGCTGAGGTGGGAACAGCCTCCCTGTCTAGATGGAACTGTGCTGGCCACAGAGTGGCCTAGGGAGGCTGCTTCTGCCAAGGCCATAGCCAGATAAAGGAGACAGTCACCCCGCTAGTCCCCACCCTTTGTATAACCTTCAGGTCAGGCATCTGCCAGGCAAGGATGGTCTTAGGAGAAGCAAGGACACAGAGGTGAGCTGTTGGCACTTTAGGAAGTTCCGTATCTGCAAAGCAGAAGGAAGAGTTCAGCTGTTCTTCTCATGGAGCACCTCCCCAGGGTATGGGATGTATCCTTCCATTCCCTTCCAAACAAGAGCTGAGTGGCCCCACAGTGCCAGGAGATGCACAAGGCACACTGTGCCCGTTCTAGGAGCCATAGACAAGGCTCAGAAGATTCTTTTTCTTCCTACCAGCTCAAAAAGAAGTCACCTCCTCCCCCGGCTCCTTCCCCAGCACCTGCACCACCTGTGAATGTGAGCCCCACGGTGGTGATCATCTGCTGCTGTGCCTGCCAAGGCATGTGTGTGAGCAGAGCCATGGAGGTGAGAGAGTTCGGGGGCTGTGACTCCAGGCTGGGCACAGGCCAGGCACAGCCAGTTCTCACAGCAGAGACTGGAGTGTGGGAGACACAGCTCTGTGGGACAGGCCTGGATCCATTTGTTCCTAATGATACCCAATGCCTGTCCTTCCTCCTGAACAGCACACAGGGCTCCCTGCCTCACCTTGGCCTCTCTAAGTACTCCAGTCTCCCTTTGTAGTATCCAGGTTTTAGGGCTGACCACTGCCTGCTCTGTCTGGGCAATCCCTGGTCCTCAGAGACATTGTCTCATCCCCAACAGTGTCTCTAATGTTAACCCCTAACATGTGGGTGGTTGAATCAAGACATACTGGGTGAGAAAGAGGTTTGCAAAGTCAGGGACAATACAAACAGAAAGGAACATCACATTCCCAAAACACTTACGCCCACCATGAAGACAGACTGGGGAAAAGCTGGTTTTCCTGGCCAGCCTGGGTCCAAGCTCTTCATGCACAAGAAGAAGAGCTGACCCAGTGGCCCTGCTGTCTGCTGATGGGCCAAAAGAGTAACAGAAAGGAAGATATTGACAGAGAGACCCTAGAGAGCATCACCAAGCTCCCTGTGTGGAGTTTGGCCTTGGGAAGCAGACAGCCATTCCATCTGAGCCCCTTCCTTTTCCCAAGAGGTTGAAGCCAATCTTGGGGGAAGTAGAAGTCAGCCAAGTCAGTAGTCCTAGGCCCTGAGTGGAGAGGATCCACAAGGTCAGCACTGAGGAAGAAAGAGTCTCCAGTTCCTATGGGCTTTGTTCTCTACTGTCCTGACTCTGTAATGAATTTATCACTTTCGAACTTTGGGCCCTCTGTAGCCACCTAGGCCAGTTAAGAGCCAGCCCTGCCCCTCCTTATGCCTGTGGGCCACAGAGAAGCCAATCTATACCTTACAGAAAGGAAGCCTCTGACAGTGACATGGCCTAACCTGAAGGGCCTGGTTCCACCCACTCCACAGGGCCCTTGAGCTGCAGGGCTGAGGCCGTGGGGTCCTCCACCACTAGGACCATGGCTCTTCTGGCCTCTCTGCCTTCCTCTATTCTCTGCCCTGGCCCAGGGCACCTGCCCCTGAGAAAGCCACAGGCCTCTTAACCTGCCTCTCCTGTGTGGCTCTGAGTACAGGCCCTGCCCATTCCCAGGCCTCCTATCTAGGCCTGTCCCAACATCATGGTTTCCCTGGAGTCCTCTGCTTGCCACAAAACACCCCTCATGCTTCTGAACCTAGATTCTGAAACTCTCTGTGTTCCACAGACACCATTCCAGAATTCAAGGTTGTAGACTCCTCCCCAAGGAGCATCCTGGGGCTTGACCTCAGAGTTCCCTGAGGATGGAGTCCTAGGAGACATGGATCCTTGTGCCTTCTGGGGTAGAGTGCCTTCTGCTGCTCCCTCATGGCCACATGGACTTTTCAGGGCAATGTGACCATGTGCAACCTCCATTCCCCAAGCTGCCACCAGTTACCACTGATGTGGTCTCAGTGCAGCAACCAGGTGAGTAGGACCCAGGGCCACTCCCAAAATCAGAATGGCTGGCCACCACTGACATGCTTTCCAGGTAGTAAGTCTCCAGCTGTGGCTCAACCTTGTACTCACCCCCAGTTCCTCCAGAGCACATGCATCCCTCAACCTCTGCACCTGTCGTGAAATGCTGTACCTGGAAGTCAGGAATTGTACTAGTTGAATAGAAATCACCTCCCCTTTTAGCCTTCCTTGGCACAAAGCCCCTCCTCTACCTACAAAGCGAGCAGGGCAGAAACTTCCAGGACCCCACTGCCTGCATCCTCACACCATCTCCCTGTGCTCTTCATTCATGGGCTTAGATTATATAGGGTTTGCCCACATCTCCAGCATGTTTTTCCATTCCCAAACCCTTAACCAAGCCACCCTGAACCAGGAAATGCAGCCTTCTAGCCTGGTTCCAATGGCATCTCTGTGCTCTAATCGTCTTGTCTCCCAGCAGGGGCAGTGTGCCAACCTTGCCGTCCTGAAGGCCCTCTGCTCTCAGGACCCCTGCATCCCTGTGGCCAGCCTGCCACCAAGCCAAGAGTACCTGCCCCTGGCTGTCTGCTGTAGGTGCCACCATCTCTCAGACAGTTGTTCCACGCTGCTACCTCTGCCCTCTCCCAGAGCCCCACTGACTTCTCAGGCATCACAGAGCCAAGATTGAGAGTGTGGTTCTTTGTTGCTGCATTGGAGCCATGTATCAGGTCTTGAGTTTTAATTTTTAAAGGGCTGGAATTTGTTGCTGATCAGTAAAGTTTTCCACCTGAAGATAAACCTTAGATGTGTTTATGCTGCACCCACCAGAACCAAACTCCCCAGTTTCATATACCTAGGTATGAACAAGTCCCAGAGCTTTGTCACCAAGCATTTTGACACATAGGTTCTTATGTCAAAGTCTCTAGGAGAAGCAATCCCAAATTCATTATGAGAGTAAATGCAGTAGCTGTTATGTAATTGGTACTGACTGAATAGAATGGACAGAGATGGCTGTACTGTTCCCCTGTGCGTAGAGGTTGTATGAATTCTTGGAATTACTATTTCTTGTCCACCCCACCCCCAACTTTGCTGTTCAGCTCCATCCTGAGCCTCACACAGTGTGTTCCGTGACCTGGGGCAGGGAAGTCAGTGGCTGTTTGGCTTCGCTTAGATGCTCATTCCCAGAGCAGCTGTGGGTATTTAGGTGAACAAGCAGCCCCTCCACATCTGGCTTTTTGTAATTCACCCTGGAATGTAAGGCCCACTTGGTCAACCATCTATGCATGTATATGTGTGCATGTGCATGTGTGCATGTGTGTGTTCACATAGATGCTTGTGGATTGTGAGGGTTGTGAGCACACATGTGTAGAGGCCAGAAATAGACATCAGGTGTCTTCCTCAATTGCTTCTCCACATTATTTTTTTAATTATTTATTTAATAACCACATACTTAGAAGAAGCATTTCATTACAACAGCATTGACATATTCAATAACAATTTCCTGAGCTAAGATGCATCTCTTTCAAAATTGACTGTAAATTTTTAGGTTTACAGTTGAATTATTACAGTTATACAATATTGTACTCAGTATAAACCCTATAAGACATAAAATTAAATGAGGTTTCAACCTTTAAAAAATATCTCCATTTCATTATTAAAATACACGGTTTCATACAGAAAAATTAATTTTTAATGCAATTCACATTAAGATGTTTGCACATGTGTTTCTAATCTCTATATATCTGATTATTACTAGTCACAGTTACTTTCTGAGCTCCTTGGCATCTGAGCATGGATATAAAGTCGTCAGGTAGATTTCAGCGGTAATTTTTCACATCTAATTATTAAAGAGTAAATTTTTACGCTTTGAAGAATTATTTTTTATCATTGTTTTTATTTTTAATAACTACATGATTAGAAGAAGCATTTTACTACAGCTTTAACATATTCAGTAACACACTCCAGAGCAGGAGTACATCTCTTTCACAAGAGGGTGTAAGTATCTAGGTTCACAGTTGAGTTAATACAGTTATACAGTACTGAACTCAGTATAAGCCCTGTAAGACATAAAATTGAATGAGTTTTTAACCTTTAAAAAAGATCTCCATTTCATTTTAGAATATATTGCTCCTTGCAGAAAGACTAATTGTTTTTGCTAGTAACACTGAGATGTTGGCACACGCATCTCTAATCTCTATGCATCTGACTGTTACTA